AGAATATCTTATCTGCATACTGTTACACCATAAAATACTTGCAGTATACCATAAGATTAGTAGAAAAAGACTCCAGCTGTAACTATGATAATGCAGAAAGCAGGAAAGATTAATGGCATTGCTATTTCAGGAAACATTAGGTTTGAGTGTATGTTGCATCTTGTGACTTTTTTGAGGAGTAAACTGTGCTTTACACTGCAGCAGAGAGCCAGAAGGGGGATGGGAGAAAAGAGGCAATATCTTGAAATCTGATATGACTCTCTCCCCACCCTGGTAGCTCCAGATCTAGAACCGAGTTTAATCACAATCATGCCTGTAAGATGGATCAGCCAGGGCACCTAGGAGAATATTGTACCGGTAAGAGCACCAGTGCTGTAGGTCTGCATCCTGTTTCTAGATATGGCTAACTTCTGTTCTCATTACTTCTCTCAACCTTTGTTTAGCCTAGCAAAAAAGGACAAGCTCTAAATAAAAGACATTACAGCATGCTAACTATTCTACTTCTATTTTCTGTGTCTGCTTCAGTTCCTGTTGTTGAACATGTATGTGCAGTTCTGGTCATCCAGTATTTCATATGAGGTCTGATGTTTTGTACAATTCTATTGATACTTCCCTGTTCCTACTGAAGAAACCCCTTTTTTAGTGCTTTTTAGAATTGCAGGAGCTCCTTGCACAACTACGTGTAGCTGCTGTTTTGATTTTCCTTCTGTTAGCCAGAATACCCAGCCTTTTCTTCTTCCTTCACCTCTGCTTTATAGCTGTAGATTTTGATTGATCCTTTCCAACTTTGCATGTTTTCTAGTATGATCATCTGTTCTTCCTGAGAGTGGGCAGTATCATCTGACTGTGCAATCAGTTCTTGAAATGCACTTTGTATTTTGACTCTGATTGTGAATCAGCATGTGAAACAAACCTGCTTCCTAGTAAACACCAGTGATGATTCTTCTTTATCTTGATCAGTTGTCTCCCAAGATTTTTCCTTTATACAACTGCCTTACGGAATTCTTTGATTAATCCTTATTCTGTCTGTATGATTAAACTACCTAAAAAGTACTCACATATGCTCAGGTCTGCTACCTTATCACTATCTTTTGGGATAAAATGGGATTAGTGTGAGGTGAGCTATTTGTAATGTAACTCTGCTGTGATTTTGCTGGTTTTTCTGTGCCTTGATGTCTTTAATTACTGTCCTTAATTAGTTTTTTTTTTCAAAATATATGCTAAGGTGGCATTTAAGTTACATTCACTCAAGTACAGGCATTAATTTATTTCAGTTGTTTTGACTACAGATACTTTTTTTTGTCATAGTACCATAACTTTACATACACATAAAATGTTTGATAGTAGCTTTACACTTTTTACGTTAGCCCTGCTCTGAGTGGGGGGGGTTGACATCTTGAGGTCTGTTCCAACCTAAATTATTTCATAATTCTGTGAACTACTTCCTTCAGTGAGCTAGGCTGAGTAATACTTGGATTTCCAAGTTCTTTTTAGTTACATTAGACAGCTGAAGAGTGTAAGATCTTTCCCATCTGTATGGTTAAATAGCACTGTCTTTGTTATGGATGCTGTTATAATCCTCATGTACACTTGCTACACTGTCAACAGTGTCTTTAATTTTTAGAATATATGCAATATCATATCTGCCAATTTCAATACCACCTGACCACATAGCATTTGTATTTCTTCATTTTTCTCTCTCAGATTTCAGGGTTTTTTTTTCTTTTTGCTTCAACCTATTGATTTATATTTAATGGAATTATTTAAAATAACATGCAATAACATCTGTTTGTTCCCCAGCTGTAAATGGTTCTGGGCATGTGCTGTCTCTTCTATTCAACTGCCTGGTATGTGGCACCCTAACCTCTGCTGCTTGATGCTAAGAAATGTACTTTTCTCATCTCATTGCAGAAAGGGAGGTGTGCTAGACTCAAAATGGAGTTGAAAATGGTGTAACTGGTAGGAAAAATATGCAGCCTTGAAATATTTAGTCAAATGTTTATTTCTGACTGTAGTACATGCAGTGTTTGAATAACAGTCCAAGTTGACCTTTTATGTTAGATTGCACAAAGTAGTCTTCTCACATCCAACTTAGCCTCCTTCTCTGAGATTTTTGAATCATTCAGAAATAGTCATAGTCTCTGGTTTTGCTTATGTGAAGTGGACATAGGATTTTCCTACACTTCTGCATTCCTAATCTAATTCAATTTTTTTGAATTTATTTTCAAATGGGCTTTGTACTTTTAAATATTTGAGTCTGTGTTTGCCAGAAGGAAAGCACTAATGTAAGTATGAACTTTACTCTTTGTGGAAAATAAAGAGTCTGAAAAAATGTTAAAAAGAAACCAGAAAGTGCTAAACTGACTCTTACTCAACTTAATATTGCAAGTGTATTGGAATCTGAAAAGACAATTGAAGGGATTTGAAAAAGAAACAAGTTGGGGTGAGTGAGCAGGGTACGTACGAGATTGCAGAAGTGAGTTCTTGCAGGTTAGCAGCCAGCAAGGGCCGGGAAGCTGTGGAAGTGGCAGAAGGATGCTATAGTAAAGGTTGCTAGGCTACTGCAAGGCAAGCATTTATGGAGTGCTACTCAGCTATGCCGAGTATTTTTCCTACCCTGCTGCTAAGTAATCTGTGTATAGTATTGCTGTTTTCCTGGCTACCTGCCGGAAAGGGAAGTTGGAACTGCTAAGAAACATTGTCCTTTTGTAGGATGAAACTTGGCTACCTGCCAGTTATTACCTTTTGCAAGACTGACTGTTTTTGGTTTCGGTCACATTGACTGACAAGGAATGTCAGGAATTCTGCTGAACATGTTTGAAATGGAATAGCAAACAATAGGTCTTTGATTCAAGTATAAAAGTATAAAAACTCTTGCATGAATTTAACTTGTTCTGGAGGTGCTGACTCGTGAGCTCTTGGTTTTGTCTGTACCATTTTGGCCTTCATTTCTTCTAACTCTGTGTGAAGCAGCTTACTGAAAATGGAATGTGGATTCTCTTTTTTCATCTCGATTTGATGTGATTTTTGAAATATTTGTAAGAGTAATTATTTCTTGCAATTGCAAATGCAAGGTCATCAGTTTTTCCTTTGTAAGGTAAGGTAATTCTTTGTCTGTATTTTATTAATCGGTTCCCTGTACTGTGTTTTGCCGTACAATAGTTGGAAAACACATGCGTTTATGATTCTTCTTATTTGTAATTTAACCTTTGATCTTTGTTCCAGGATCATTTTAACAGAAAGTTAAAGCTAACATTTACTACTACAGACAGTGACAGAGGAACTGAATATCGACTTAAAGTTATGGTGTGTTAATAATGATTCCTTTGCACATGCTTTTTCCTTGTGAGCTCTAACACCATAACCTAGTGTTGGGGTTTAACCCTGCCAGCAGCTAAAACAACCACATATCCATTTACTCACACACCCCCCCCGCAGTGGGATGGGGGACAGAATTGAAAAAGAAAAAAAAGGTAAAACTCGTGGGTTGAGATAAAGACAGTAAAATAGGACATTAGCTAATTGCAAAGTGTAACTGCCTCCCGGCCAACTGCCCCAGCTGTATGCTGAGCATGATGTCCTATGGTATGGAATATCCCTTTGACCCATTTTGGTCAGCTGCCCTGGCTGTGTCCCCTCCCAGCTTCTTGGGCACCCCCTGCCTTCTCATTGGCAGGGCAGTATGAGAAGCTGAAAAGTCCTTGACTGGTTGGCAGCAACTAAAACACCAGTCTGTTATCAACATCATTCTCATCCTAAATCCAAACCACAGCACTATACTGGCTCCTAGAAAGAAAATTAACTCTGTCCCTGCCGGAACCAGGACACCTAGTTCTCTTTTAACACTATTTTGTGAAGGTGTATCACAACTCTGCCAGTAATGTTGTATTACAAACAAGTCAGACACTGAATACACACTGTAGGGTGCAACAGCATAAAAAGACAACTTACTCTTTAACGTCCATGAAGGTGCAGTGGATATAACAGGGATTTGATCCAAGTCCGGTGTCCTGTTGCCAGTTGTGGACTCACAAGCTGAGCTAACTCCTCTGGTATAGTCTCCCAACTTGTACTGATTTGTGGCCTGAGGATTTCTTGAACTTAAACCCACTTTTTTTTATGTTACTGCTCTTTATGGAGTTGTCTTCTGTGAATTTGTGTTGGTGCTTTTAAATCTATGTAAAATAACAGTATTCGCAAATTCTGCCAAGAATTCCAAAGTTCACCTACTTGTGTGTTGTGTGAACGACTGCCACGTGTTTGATTCTTATCTGCTAATTTTGCTCGATGATGTCCTTTTCTTGTGTTGAGAAACCATCAACAATTGTTACCTATAGCTTTCTTAATTCCATAGGTGTTACAGATTCTGTTCTCAGCTGTTTCTTTTCCTGGGGGAAGACTCCTTATCTATTAACCGTTCCTTGTAGCTGTGGCCATGCAGTTTTGAGCACCCTGGTTGTGTCTTTCTCTGTGCCTCTTTCAGTTGTTGCATACTTTTTGAGATGAGTAGGAACCAGGATTGTGTGCATTATTAAGGATGGATTTTAGTGACATAATGTGTCCATCTTTGTTTTCAAAGTCTTTTATAAGAATTCTTAACATTTGTTTTTGTTTTACTACTACTGCTATTTTTAATACTTCAGAATCTCGTTCCAAAGTGAATACCCTTCTCACAGCCTGTCATCATCTGTGGGATGTTAGGATGCTGGGCTTTCTTAAACTTATGCTTTACTTTACATCTCTTTACAGTGGATTTCTTGTGCTAGTTTAATCTCTACTTACACAGTTGCATAAAGAAGTCGTTACACTGTAGATATTTCTTGCTTAGAATTATCAAAAACCTTTTTCATGTTTAAAAAAATTGCAATAATATTTTCACAACATTTAAGGTATACAATTATTTATGCAGTGCAAGTTGTATGTGAAATTAATAACAGGACCAGATATTTTGATTTGATTTCCATTGCATTAATTTATAAACTCAATCTTTTGCAGTTTTGTTGCTAGAGAAGATGGAAAATGATGACATTTGTAATAAAACTCTGAAGATTACAGACTTTGGTCTGGCTAGAGAGTGGCACAGAACAACCAAAATGAGTGCAGCAGGGACTTATGCGTGGATGGCCCCAGAAGTTATCAAGTCCTCCATGTTTTCTAAAGGAAGTGATATTTGGAGGTAAGAAGTTTGTTTGCTGAAGACCATGTTCAGTAGACCTGTTGAGGTTTTTGAATTAATGTTTATTTGAATTTTTTGTGGTTTCCTAGGTTATTGTCTCAGCATATGGCAAGTATAGCTGTTCTAAGAAACGTTCATTTCTCAGCATCTAGTTCATTTGGTCTACCTTCAGTTATTCACAACTTACAAATTGGGGGAGGGATAGAGAAACTAACAAAATTTTTTAAATTTATTTTTAAGAAAACAAGATCTCATTAAGAGAAGCCTTTAAAATATCCATTGGTTAAGATACTTAAGTATTTTATCTGGAGTCTTAATATAAACAACCATATGCTCTTGATACATTATATGATTGATCTCATATTGGCATGTTTGCTTAATATCAGATGTCTGAAAAGTCTCGTTCTGCATAAGGAAATGAGACCAGCGAGTTATTACCTTGTATGTCTGATAAATAAAAATAAGTTGCAAACCAGAACTTTGCCAATTGTTAACTTAAATTAGTGCTGTTTTGTAGGAACCTAGAATGTCATCATGTGTAAAAGTGAACATCAGATCGAAGTTTTTATATTTATAGGGATTTTGCTTTCAGTAGGTGGAGTCATGAGAGTGTTTTCAGCACAAAATTGTTTTAACTTGCTCTAATTTTAAAGGTGGGGAACAGCTTCTGTTAAATTTGTGAATTTCTTGTTAAAGGTGTTATTGTGGGTCATATAAATAATATGGCTTTGAATACTGATGCTATTTTTGAGTGGTGTAGTGTGGGATACCTATACTGTAGAAAAGTAATTTAAACTTTAGTTTTGATTTGGTTCTGTTTTGTGAATGGGGAAAAGCAATGATTGCACAATAGACTCTAAAAGCTGCTGTGCCTCACCCTGAAAAGTCTACATTTCCTTTCTTTTTGAAATGTTTTCTCTCTGAAGGATCCAAGGTAGCTATTCGGGGAAGGAGAGGAGGACTTTAATCAGTTCTCTCATGCCTTCTTCTGCATGTTCTATGTTGTATAATTCTTAAATAGGGTCCTATTTTGCTTAGATGCCTGATATTCTACAGCATGAAGTAATACTTTTGGTATTCTCAGAATGATTCTATATCTGCACTGCTGTTTTGTGACACCAATTTGTCTTGTGTCTGGAACTGATTTTCGGCATTTTGTTTACATCGGTCTGAGTTGATACCCGGTTGAGAAACATCTTTGGCTTCGTTCTTTTTTTCCATTCTTTCTTCCTTTTTTCTTTAATTTTTTTTTTCTTTTGCGGGGTGGAGGTTGGGTGTAGGAGTTTCCCTAATCAGCTGTATTCCATGCTTAATTACAGGTCCTGTCCAGTCTTGTTGCTGTGATTTTAGGTATCTGAGGGGGTATGCTTTGGTGCAATTATTTTATATTCTGCTGCAACATTAGTTTACATTTTTGGAACCTACAGTATTTCTCTTCTTCGCCTTCTCTCCTGCACGCCTCTCTTGTAAAAATGTAAGTATTTAGCTCAATGATGGACGTCTAACAGGAGAGGTTTTTAAGTAGAAAGGCTGTGTTGTACAGTATAGTTTAGACCTTCCTGGCTTCTAAAGATTTTCTGCTTACTGCACCTTGATCTATTCTATTGCTTATCTTTACTCTTTCTTTAAAAGAAAAGAAAATAAAGAATACCCGGGTTATGGGAGGGTTGTGGGGTTTTTTGTTTGTTTTAAGAAGCATTCAGGTTACAAGTTTAAGTATGGGTGTGTCTAAGACCAGAACACAGTATATTTCAGGAAAGTTCTAAACTTCAGTTACACATACTGAGTGCTGAGTCTCAAAAAGAAGTCTGCAGACCTCTTAGTAGGAGGGAAGAAAAAAAGGGTGGTAGTTGGGGCAGCTCAAGTATACTCACACCTGCAGCTAGTCTTCAGAATCAGCCAGTGCTTGGAAATGTTGTGGGGGTGTTTTCAACCTTGCAGGCTGCATGTTCTCGGGTGTCATCCTAGATAGCAGAACTGGTTCTTCCCAGGCCCTGCATGTGCATCCTTTTGCTTCCCAAACCAGAGTTATAACGACTGCATTTATTATTCTTTGGCATATGCTTCTAAATTCCCAAGAATTCCACTCTTTTCAGCCCTACCCTTCCATTGAACATTAGGCATTTCTTAATGGTATGTTACTCTTGGGTTTATGTATGGATCCTGAAAGTGCAAATATGCCCACAGATTTCCCAGTGCTGATGGTGTTCTTCAGCAGTGGCCTTTACAGTAACATGTGGCTCCAGCTCCTGGCAAAGCTAGGAGGCACTTACTGCACAGCAGAATTAGCAGCTGCATTTACCTGGCACATTCATATAATTTTGAAGTGATTCATGTAGCAATGCTGAGTAACCTCTGCTTTAGAAGATGGATTGTAGAATGAAATAAACTGAGTACTTTACCTTCATTTTGATCAGCTTTTAAAATTTGTAAAAACAACAAGTTATTACAGGAATGAGATAGAGTAAGGTTTAAATCACATTTGACATCAGGAGAATAATTTTTAATAATGAAAATACTTAAAAGGACATGTTTTTGAAAGTGTATTAGTTTCGGTGGTTTAAAAATGTATGCTTCAAGCATGTTATGCCTGTATTTTTGGCCTTTTGTTGAAGATGGAAAAGGAGCTTTTGCTCTTTTAAAAAAAGCTATTTCTTGGAAGCTCTGACTGTACACAAAGGACAACTGTACGTGGGCTGGTGGAATTTAATACACAAAGTAGCTACTTTTGTAGTTGAGAAAGTTAATAAGTAGTTGTTGTCCTAGATAGTGATAGATTAGTACCTCCCAAAAACTCCAGTATGGCAGGACTAGAATGTCTTTAGGGTTCCTTCCCACAGTTTCCCCCCCACAGCGCTGGCTCTTGGTATTTGATATTAAGACTGCTCTCATTAAAAGAGACGCTTTCAGGCTGTTACTGTGTTGGTCTGTTTAAAATTTTACAACCACCGTCTTGGCACTGTTGAGAACTACTTTGGATTAAAGGCTTGAATTGTAAATATAACTAAAGCTAATAGTGTGACACAACTTTTTATAAAAGGTTATTTCTTTTTAAATTTATTTTTCTGCTTAACTTCAGAGTTCATGCTAGAATATGTATGGAATAGTCTGAACAAAGGAAGTCCTTGAATTAAGAACAGTTTACGCTCTCTGAGAGAGCGTAATGTTACTTTTACGCTTTCTCTCAGCCCACACATGAGATGTAGTTCAGTAGAATTCCTCTGTCACACATAAAATGTGTATGTACCACAGGAAGTGTTGTACTCATTATTGTCAGAAGTACCACTGATTTAAACCAAAATTGGAATTCATTATTTTATCCTTCTTTGAGTATACAAGCAAGTGCAGAGATTAGACTGGAAAAAATTGAGAGGAAATTATTAAGAAGCCTAGACTTTTCTTTTTTATTCTATTTTGTATTTTTTAGGAATGAACCATATTCCTCACCTTTTAATTAACTGTTAACTCCATAAATTCATGAGTTTTCTAAGATTTTATGATAGACAAAACTTCTTAGATAAACAGAATGTAGATAAACAAAACACTGCTGATATTCGTGCTGATATAGCATAGTTTGCTGTTTTATTATTTATTAAAGTGGTGTTGTCAGGTCTTGTATAATGCCAAATGACTTTTTCTCATTAAGGAGAGAGTGATAGAAAAATTTTAACATGTCATCTTCTCCCTGTCATGTTTGTTGTAGTTGAGGTAGTATTTCTAGTATTAAAGGGTACATAGCCCTTACCTCCCCAGTGCTGTATGCATTTCTCCTCATATAGGAGAGTTCAATCCCATCCTGCAAAACTTGCAGGTAGTTCTTCACCCACCTGGAGAGAAAGGGCAAGAGCAATACTTTGTATTCTGTTTTTTCCTCCTTGCCTTTTACTATTCAAAGCAGCAATAGGTTGTCCTTTGTATCCTTGTTCTACAGGTAGTGGTTCCTGGGCGGGAAGGAAAAAAACAAACCTGGTCATAAAGTCAACTTTAGGCTTACGTTCTAAAAGGAATAATTCCTGCTTCCACAAAAATGACTGTGAAAGCTAACCATTTCAGTGGTGGTGGAGTAGGAGCTCTAGAGCAACAGCAGCGAGCGTGCTGTCCCAGCCCTTTGTAGGTGCTTGGATCTTGGAGCAAGACAAGCATTGGGCGTACAGACCCAAAAGCAGATAAAAGCAACACCTGGCTCTTCTAGAGTGGAGAGCATAGCAGAAATTCTTACAGTTAATGTTGCTGCAATAGGAATTCCTATGTTTCTTGATTTCTGTACCTGACGCTGAGAAAAAAAATCTCTTCATGCCACAACCTTTCACTGGAGACAATCTTGGTTTGCTTGCTTGTTTGTTGTTTTTGTTTGTTTTTTTTTCTAGTGTGGAGAAATTAGTTGTGTGCCTGTAATCATTTCTCAGTCTTGTTGCATCTTCTGTGGGAAGTGAAAAGTTAACATGCCAAGGGGTTAGAAATACAAACTTCCAAAGCAAGCTGGGGCTTTTATGGTGTTTTTTATTACTATTATTAAAAAAAGAATTAGCACGTACATCTAGGTAAATTGTTGGAAAATGTTTGAAGAAGGGAACGGCCTGAATGCTCTACTGAAGTTTTTTTCTTTTTTTTTTTTTTGTTTTGTTTTGTTTGGTTTTTTGTTGGGGAGATGGTTGCTTGTTTTCCTGTCATTCAGACTTCTTAATGTAAGTGAGATTTACCTGATACTAGCATTTCTATAAAAGTGACTTCAGGCTACATTTTGAATAGGAGTGCGAGCCAGTCTTAGTCGCATCCAATTTGGTTAATCGGTATTAGTGGAAAGGTGCAAGATGACTGAAGTAGAGCCGACTCTTAGAGGCATTCACTTTGATGTGGGAAATCCTCATGAATTTCAGCAAGTGGTTGGAGAGATACTTGTTTGTTCTTGAGTAAACAATGTGTCAGTATTCAGAAAATAACTGTTAAAAAAATTACCTTTTGTAGTTATGGAGTGTTGCTGTGGGAACTGCTTACAGGAGAAGTTCCTTACCGTGGCATTGATGGCCTTGCTGTGGCTTACGGAGTTGCTGTCAATAAGCTTACTTTGCCCATTCCATCCACCTGCCCTGAACCATTTGCAAAACTAATGAAAGGTATCTATGTTGTTTCTTCCTATGTATTGAAATAGTTATGTTTTGGGAGTATGTATCCTTGTCTGTAATAGTCACAGAGTTGCAGAATAAATGTTTTGTAATGTGCTGGCTACAAAGTATTTTGTTTTTCTTTTCACAGCAATCTGGTGTTAGAATGCGTTGAATGTGTTTCGGAGGAAGTCATACAGTATTACAATGTACCACATAAGTTCTTCACTAGTGATGAAGTACTTTTTTTGCTCTGGTTTTACTGATCTCCTTTTACACTCAAATTGCATTAATTTTCATAAACTACAGGATATACTACAGACCAATACAAGATCAAGATTAAAGTCCCAAGGGGAAGAATGGAAAATGCCATTTTTCCTCATTGTTTCTTCCTGAGTGTCAAAAATATTTTGGAAGTACTTTAGAGAGAAATAAACAATGCTTGCTAATGGCTATTTCATTGTGTTTAATGAATTTCTTGACCTTTTGTATGTATCCCTTCTGTCCAGTACTGCTAGTTTTGCTATTTCAGATTCTAAAGATAGAGATGAAAAAAAATTGACTATTAATACAGAAACAAATACAAAAAGTCCTCTGACTACAGGTAGGTAGGTATCACTTCTGTAAATAGAAGAGGAACTAGGGAATCCGTGCAGGTAAAGGGAACACATTAGAACTTGAAGTACAGTAGCAAGTACCTTGAAATTTATGTAGTTCTTCAAAAAGTTCTATGTATTATTAAAAACTGATGGGATTTTGATAAATTCTAGAATGCTGGGAGCAGGACCCTCATATCCGACCATCGTTTGCCTTAATTCTTGAACAGCTTACTGCCATTGAAGGGGCAGTTATGACTGAAATGCCTCAAGAGTCTTTCCATTCCATGCAAGATGACTGGAAATTGGAAATTCAGCAGATATTCAATGAATTGAGGACCAAGGAAAAAGTAAGTTGATTTTTCCAATTGTGTGGCAGTGAAGGAAAGGTATGTGTGTATGTGCATTCATGTGATACAGCAGATTTGAACTTTTGAATTGTGGCTTAGCAGTATAATACTAGAAACTTGATTTAGTAGTAGAGATACACTTAAGAGGATAAACTACTTGGAAGAGAGGATTTACTGTCTCATTAAAACATTATTAATTTAACTTACCTATTCTTGTTGGTGGATGTACTATTCTTAAATTCCATTCATGTGTTTCTGGACAGTATTTAAAGATAACCCTGTAACTGTCTTGCAGCAAACTTACTTTAGAAAAAAGGTTTGAATGCTGTTTTTCTCCTTTCTTCCCCTTTCTTCCTTAACAAAACCAACAAATGGTTCTGTATGCTGAAACTATAGCTAGAGGTATTTGAGTTGAAGTGAAATGTTTAGTTTGCCAGGAAACATAGGTTATTGTAGTAAGTGAGGGGGTTATCATATGAATGGCTCATATGCCTGTAGGCAGTTGAATGCAAAACATATCCACACCTGTGTCCCCAAAGAAAATGGGTTGTAGATTTGTAAATGTGGCACATAGGCTCTTTTTAAAACGTAGTATTTTTTTTCTTGGATATTTGAATGCATCACTTAACAAACAAACCAGAGTTTATTTAGTCCTTAGCTCATCTTTATAACCTCTGCAAATTTTCAGCTGCTGCTGAACATTCTCCTCAGTTGTAGGAATGAAAAGCTTTTCATCCTGTTATATGACTGTATCACGTGGTTTCTTTTCCAAAAAAATGGTGTAGTGCTTTTATTTCTCTTCCCGAACAGACTGATAATATTGATCTTTCAGTGTTACAGTTTTGGAAATCTTCTTGCCAGATATTAATAAGACCAATTAAATCAAACTTGTATTCATGAATCAGCAAATCCAGTTTCTCTTGTTTATTGTGCAGATTCCTGTCACTGATCTTGTGTCCATACTCTGATATTGTGATACATTTGTGCTAAATGAGCGCTCACTGGTTTTGCCCTCTTTGACCTCTCTTTTAGTTACTTCAACTAGGTTTTAATTGCTCTGAGGTTTGTTTTCCTTTAGACAACTTGATAAAGATAACAGTTGGATGGGCCACGTGTCCTCTTGAATCCCTGTTAGAAATGCTTCTGGTAGAAACAGAATCCTTCTTTGCAGGTCTTTCTTGCAGTATAATTATTGCCCAGTATATATTTGTTGTCATTTTTCATTAAATGGTAATAGATGAGGAAGAAAACTGAGATGCAGTGACTTGTGAAGAAATCTTTATAAAAGATATAGTCGCTTAACTTTGACAAAAGCAACAACTAAATTCTCATCTTGCAAGTCACTGTGAGTAGCCTTTGTCCCTCACTTCTCATCAAGTGTCACAAATTGCTTTGTGGACTATTGGCTGGTGATGGGTGTGACATTACAGATCTACTGTAATATCAGTATATGTGGTATCAGAATTTATTGATCACCACTAAGATTGCAATGTCATCAGTAATAATCTTACATACTTCCTATCTGCCTTCTCCACCCTCTGCTTTACCCTCTTCCATTTTGGTTCACAGAACTGGGTAAGTGTTGTCTGTAGTCTCTGCCCTGCCTGCAGTGGGCATACAGGTTGCTAGAGCTGGGCTGTGTGCCTCTGTAGCTGTCAGATCTCTTCCTTTCCAGGTGGGTTATAGTGCCTCTACAGAAAGTAGAGACTTTCCTTTATACTTGCCATGGGGGCACCAGCCACTGTGTTTAATTGCCACAACCTGCCATGGGGTGTAACTCTCTTTTCTGCCCCTCCAGCAACTGCTCAATCCAAAAACTTTCCCCTTTTTACTCTGGGAGCAATTGTAACAGGCATTCCCATTCAGGGTTTGTATTGTTTTGGGTTTTTTTTAATTTTATTTTCTGGAGACATTAGTCCAGTATGAGATTTCCTTTTGAAGAAAAATCTAACTAAATCAAGCTTAGCATTAAATAAGTCTGTGCAAATTTTTGGGAGAAGAGTCATATATTTGGTGTAAAAGTGAGTTAAGCTTAATTAGGGAGGGGAAAAAATAAAATGAAATTTACTTCTCATATGCCAAAGTAAATGCACCTCCAAAGGCATCTGCCCTAATAAGATATACCTATTTAAGAATGAAAGCATGTAACTTTGACTTAGACAAAGTTTTCGTATGTGCGGGCTTATTTAATTCGGCACGTTACCAGTGTTACTGACAGATACTAGGGAGAAAGTAATGTCTATGAAGTATTTATATAATAATAAAACTATAAAAAAATAACAACCCTGCATGGTCTCATGCCCTATAAAAGAGGAACTTCTGTAGCTGGAGGAATTTCCTCAAGGGCTTACTGTAAATGAGCGATGGTGACGCCCACTCCAGGAGAAGATCACAATCTTCATTTCACAAATGTTCTTGAGCAACTTAAATATAGAATTCTTTCCTAGCTTCCTTACAATGGTTGTTTTAATTGTAGAGTGGTGTAAAAACATTGCATAACTAATTGCAGTAAGTCTGTTTTAATTAGTTTATTTGGAAAAGAGTAAATACTTAATCTCTCGATGAGGAAACACTATTACTTTTTATAGACTGTCTAACTTTTCAATATGAGCCTTCAATTTTTGCCTAGTTACTGAGCTTTATGGAACCTGGATTTGAGGACAAGAAGAGATGGGTAATCGACAGTGTCTCCTAATACATGTTTATTTCTGTATTAATACATTAATAAACATCTTTTCTATTTAAACTCCAAAGTACCTTTATTCTAAATTTGAATTTATGCAGCTTCTTCTTCCAACCCTTTTTTAGGTTGTCTGGTTTTGACTGGATGGGAGGGAGGATGAAAGTGAGAATTTGCAGCAATCTCTAAATTAAGTGATTAAATATCTTTAATTAAAAAAAAAAAAAAAGAAAACAACCCAAACCCCAAAAACCAAACCAAAACCCCAAAATCTTACTTGCTGGCTTGAAGATAGGCTCCTTTGAATTTCCAAGAGGCAGGATTGCCTTTTGTGAAACTGTGTATGTTAAGCAGAGTGGATTAAGAAAAAAATAATTAAATATTGTGTTGAAACAAGTTCACTCAAAATCAGCAAAAATATGAAATTTGTCAGTCATTTTGATTAAATTTGAAAACAGCGATAAGCAGTGTGTGTATGCTACGTAAAGAAAAAACAAGTATCTTTCTGAGAAACAGGTACTTCTCACTGAGTTTGCTTCAGTGCTAACCTGTCTTTTGACATACATATTCTTTTTGGCAAGGGTTTTTTTCCCCTCATTTGAAAACAACGAAGTAGTATAGTTCAGGAACTAATTTATTCAAGACAAAGTGGGAGTTAAAGAGCAGAAAATTTGTGGGTTTTTTGGTTTCACTGTATGGGATAAGGAATTGTGCTGGCGTGCAACATTGCTGGATACTGATGAGCAGAAGTAGGCAGTCTGCTCTGGAAAAAAAAAAAGATGAATGACACCACAATTATAAGATTGTACAGTGACAAAATTAATGAATTTTTAAACAGGAATAAGATTCTTTATATATACAGAACTTCTAGCATAGTTTAATTTCAAATTCTGGTTTTCTATTTTGTATTGAATATCAGTTTCTATCTAGGTAGAATTTATACAATTGTATGTAAAAATGACAAAAAAAAATGTAGAGAGAAACATACAGTATCCGTCACATTTTAGCTTCTCCTTTTCCTGTAGTCTTTTTTATTAGCAGTACTGACTACAACACCTCTGGGTAAGTCTGTTTCATGTGTAATATGCCCCATACTATGAAGGGAGGTCTACTTACATTTCAAATATATTTTAACAGATTTTGGAAGCCGAAGATTAAGATAATTTTAAGATGGTAGATTTACAGCTGTTTAGCCTTGGGGATTCATTTACCCTGAAAACTTAACTAGCTTCCTCACTAAAGCTTTTCCTTCTCCAAAATAAAAAAAATATAAAGGGAATAGAACAACTATTCTATGGGATTGATGGTTGGAAAGTCTATATGGTGTAATTTAGTGGTTAATAGCTATTTGATGTTACACAGATACCTGCTAGATTTTAATTAAGAAACAGCTGTCTTCTGTCTTATGGCTTGGTTTATCCTATTGCACTAATCCTCATTCAGTGTAATACTGATTGCTTTTCTAGATAGAAAAGTGCTACTTAATACATAGCTGAAAAGCAGGAAAGGTTAGAAAATTTAAGATAAAGGCATTCATTTGTGTGTTCGTCAGGTCATTGACTTCATGTTAGTGCATAGGAGCTAAGAGCAACTCTCACACTATGAAAGAGTCTCTGATGTGAAGTACTTTGAGCACATTTTTCTGTAAGCTGATGATTTTTGATTGGATGTGTTGTCCCCGTTGCCCGTGCTTACCTACCTTAAGTAAAGTGACTCAAGTTAAATGATTAAAAGGAAATCTGTATAATGCTTGATTGCGTCCAGATACGGAATCTTGGCTTATGCAGAATGGAGGACTATCAGAAGGTCATATGTGCGTGTTACGTGTATATAATGTATCATGAATATAGATGAGGAAATACAACCTACTGTAGATTTTATATATCCTTTAATACAACCTTCGCATGATTATTTGGTTTCATTTGTGTGAATCTTACCGTCAGGAGCTTCGTTCACGAGAAGAGGAGTTGACAAGAGCAGCTCTTCAACAAAAGTCTCAAGAAGAATTACTTAAGCGCCGCGAGCAACAGTTAGCAGAACGTGAGATTGATGTACTGGAGCGTGAGCTGAATATCATGATATTCCAGTTAAATCAAGAGAAACCCAATGTGAAGAAGAGGAAGGGCAAATTTAAAAGAAGCCGGTTAAAACTTAAAGACGGGCACAGAATTAGTTTGCCTTCAGGTTTGCAATTTTTATAAAGTTCACAACGTGTTACAATTAAATATGCAGGCTTCAGTTCCATGGTTAATGGATTAATGTTTTCAGCAGTGGCTACTATTTTAATTCCTTGCCAGGTCCTCCTACCTTAATAGTGCAAAAGGATATGGTAAGAATTGTGTCACCTTCCCGCCCCCCTCACCCCCACTCCCCCACAAGAAAGCATATCATATTGTGGAGTACTCCTCCTTTCAGCTGGAAGAATCTTTCATCTGATTCAGCTAGAAGTCCATTGTATCTGGAGGGAAAGGTTACTAGCATGGGATGATGATTTAAGACTGGCTCGAAGTTCAAATTTTTGCTATCGTTCTTTTTGTGCAGATAAAAAAGTACTTTTTTTTATCACATCCCAGAACTTTCTAACATGATCAAATATTAGTGCTGTTGCCCTAAACTTGCATATACATAGTTGAAGAGCAGCACTTCATAATGGCTAGAGGTATAGGTGTGGTAGTTCCCAACTGCATGCTTATTGCAGTCACAAAATACGTCACAGCAGTTACAATCTTTGGTGCCTTACTTCTTGCAAGAAAACACTGTAATAGCAACAGAAGATATTATTTCAGAGTGCTAATATGATATTATTTGAATGTTAGAGCATTTAACCCCACCCATGAACGCATTAAAATGCCCTCATTGCAAAGGAGATGTGTTTGTAGATAGTTGGGATTTTTTTAGTATCGCAGCTGGTTTAGTGGTGCCTTTGTAATATTGCCACGAGATGGCACTACAGAAACTCAAGGTTATGCCAGTGACTGGAAAACCTTCAGTAGGGGTCCAGCATCCTGGTGTTGATAGGCTTCCTCCCAGTGCCTTCCAGGTCAAGTCTATCAATTTATTACTTAATGTAGCAAGAACTTAATGCCATGCTAATACAAGTCTAACCAAATCGTAGCTGTGTGGTACTTAGAAAGAGACAAAAAGGATGGTAATATTTAGAGTACTGTTTCAGCTGTAGTGAACTAAGCTCATTTTTCCTTACTTTAATAATAACAACAGTAAATGAAACAAAAACACACTACAGCCTCCCAGACAAGCATGTTAGATTGGTTTATGCTGGATCACAAGCTTAAACTAAATATTTGATCCTTTGTTACCAATTCTGCTCATATTTAACTTGAAAAAGTGATAAACAGTTTTATTCAGAATACCACTTTAGCTCTTTGTTGTCAAGAATCATCCAGATGAATTTGTCCTTGAGACAGTTCTGTTTTAAGAATGGCATCTAATCTAATTGCACTGATGATGGGGATTAGAGGAGCATATCATCGATTTTTTTTTTTCATAAAATTTTTCCTATTTACCAATACTTGTTGCTGTGGTTTTTTTGGCTTCATTGCTATAAATACTTGTCACTCTGTACTTTGGTATCTTGTTTTTGACATGTTGATAGATGTAACTTCTTTGTTAATGCTACTTTTTATGTTGTATGTAAATTACATGTTTAAAAAAAAGGCAAATCTGATTGCTACAAATATTGATTGATTTGAGAAGAAATATTGTGAATTTTTTTTCCCCCCTCTGTGATAAACAAGAAGATTGAATAACAGTTTGATGTGGATATGTTTCAGTTTGAGTCCACTTGAGCACACCTGCTTTTGTTGATATTACTGCAAACCTATCATACAGTATCTGTGAAGGGGTGAAATCCTGCCTGTTTGACTCAATATCTAAATTGTTACATTAAGAGTGAGTTTGTCAGTGTTTTTAATGTGAACATCTCTTACACTGTCAAGTCTAATTACATAGCTTTAATTGTTTGAAGAAGTACAGCAGTATAATCTCCTGAAGAGGTTTTTATTTAGAACATTAAAACTGAATTGTTTTACTCTTGTACAGATTTCCAGCACAAAATAACAGTACAGGCATCCCCCAATCTGGATAAGAGGAGGAGTTTAAACAGTAACAGTTCTAGCCCATCAAGTAGCCCCACAATAATTCCTCGTCTTCGAGCTATACAATGTAAGTCTCCACCATTTCTCTTTGTTTCTACTGACCAAATGAACTGTTTGTTCCATATACTACTGGTAGTAGTGTCAGATTCCAGGCAGACTTCTGTCTGATTTCCAGGTCCCTTAACTTGTTCTAACATTTGCAACTTGTTCTTTGATGGGAGGGATAATCTTGCTAAAATGCTAACTAATTTTCAGTAATTCAAAATGATTGTGAATGCTTTAAATTGTACCTTTAGCCAATAACTTCAGGAACTCATTTGTATACTGACTGGGATAAAACAATGAAGAATCAAAATCTATACTGGCAAAAAGGCAAAGCACACATGTAGAACCCACGTAAGATGGAAAACCAAGTTTTTGGTAGGTATTGGAGCTGATAAAGGAAAACAGTTATGGACTATCAAAAAAAAAATAAAATTTCAAAGAATAAGGGAGTCATGTAAGACAGGCAGGCCAAAGAATCAGCCAGCAACCCAGCTTGCTTATGTCAAAAGAGAAGCAAGCTTTAAGCAAATACAAAGCCAAAAGAATATAAAGAAGAAAGCTTGCTTTAGGTTTTTTTTTAAAACAAGAGAAAGAAACAAAAATAAAATTATGGGTATGCTTGTCGGCCTACATTATTCCACGTATACTGATGACAGAGGGGAAGGTATGTTCATGCCCATGTAGTGGAGGTACCATGAATGTGGAAGAAAACATCATACTGTTACAGTGAAACCCGCATTTATATTTGGGAATGATATATGTAGAGATAGAAAACAGTTCCTACAGGATTCACTGCTTTCATTTTTACTGTCTGATCTATTGTGCAAAGTAGGTTGTCTAGTTATCCATATACAGTGTGGAATGCCTTAAGCTTTTCTCTGTATACAAAATCAGTGGAACCTGTTCCAGCTGATTGCTTTTGGATGGTGACTATCTTCTCTTGCAAGAGTAGTCACCTCTGAAGGAAATTACTTCAGAATCTAACTTTAAGATGTAAATAAGGAGGAGGGGAAATCAAAATGCATGGGGATTTTTTCCTGTTCTGCAGCTAATTTAAAGATTTTTTTTTTTTTAACCAGTCTGAAACTTTGTTTAAAGGTTGGATAGAAACCATATCTCTGATCTCCTTTGGAATACCTCTGTCTTATGAGATCCTTTTCATTATTAATGTCTAAAGGAGAAGTGGTGTCTTTTCTGGCAGTAACTTTATTATTTGTTTGAACTGTAACTGATACAGTTCCCTGGGCGAAGACCTTTGCTACCCATATGTCGTGGATAAAGGAGAGAGGTGAACAAACCCTGTCTTGCTTTTCTTAATGAAAATTTGAGATGGAAGGAAAATTATGTAAAGTCTTTTTCAGAAGTTAGCTGACACAGTATCTGTGTTGATAATGGTTTCCCAACCTCAAACTGTGTGGTGAGGTTTTTTTGTTGGTTGGTTTTTTACTGCAGAAAGGTAAGAAACGTTTTTCTTAGTAAAATATTATAATTACATATAAACAAAACTGTCTCGTTTCATCTTTGATTCTGCTTGCTCTGTATGGAAATGCTTGGAAATGAAGCAAGCGTCCAATATTGGCATGGTTCTGAAAACTTGAGGTGGTTTTTTTTTTAAATGCATAGTCTTATGTGAGCTATAGCAGTGCCCCTTCTTGCATGTGTGCTACGTGCCACTGGAGATTTTTCTTTCTTTTTTGTTTGAGCATGTATTTGTAGGACTAGAACATACAGGACAACATAAAGGCTTTAAAAGTAGTACACTTCTGTTTCTGAGTTTGGATCCTTAGGCTTTTTTTTTAACTTAAAAGCTTATCAGATCTCTCAGGAGTATCTAGCTGAAACAATTTAGCTTCCACACCCATCTACACCTGTGCAAAATAAATTCTCTTTCCCACAATAATGTTTTATCTTGATTTAACTTCAAAGTGTCTTTGTTTCAAGAAGACTTGCTCAAATACAGGTGATTTGAACAGGCATATCTAACAGCTGGTTACTTGATTGCTTCACTTTGTTGTGAGCGAGTCTAGCTTCCAAATCTGAAAGTTTTTTTTAAGTAAAAATCTAGTTAATTGTAAGTCTTGTTATTAAAACAAGTTCAGCTGATTTTGAAAGATGTTTTAAAGGGAGGAGAAAAACAAGTAAGATATATATTCCTGGAATGTGGTTGAAAATGAGAGTGTACAGAAGGCAAGTAGAGTGCCATGCTACAGGGGAAGCTGTGCTGGCGAGAAGTTGTGTGGTGAGGCAGGAGGAGAGCACTGTGCAGTGCAGGAGCGGCATAACCATGGGCATGTAAATGCCACCTCATTTATCATGCTGTTATAACTGGCTAAGTTGTTTTTCTCTCGGGTCTCTCCATCATAGCTGTCAGCATGCTACATTCATAGCAAGTTACTTTTCCAGTTAGTCACTCGTATATGAAAATCTACTTGCCTGGATCTGGCCCTAGAAAGAGGATCCTCTAAACCCTACAGTAGAAACCTGCTCTCAAGAACTGCTTAGCGCCTTTATAGATGTGGACTTTATGACCCAAAGATAAAAATATAAGGGAAACAGTTCTGTTTCTGAAATCAACTTGACTAAGATCTCTACTACATTCTCTTAATTTTTCCTCAGTGATTCCCAAAACAGATACACACACAACTAATGGCCGAAGAAACAGTGTATATGTGTACCAGCAAGATGTAGATATCACAAGTGAATATGAACTTCCCAGTGGGGTTATGAAAAAAGGCAAGATTTTATTATGTTTCAAAGGTGCTGGTTCTGTTTAATTTAACAGTTGAGACAGTGACAGACTAAGCATTTAATGAAGGTTAGACACTTTAAAAGTATTATTTGTTTTGGTGTAGTGAGAAAGAAAATGTTAATCGTTGTCACAATTGGAATATTCTGTTCCATTTTATAACAGTTGTTGCACAGCATCTATTTTCTTCATTTGAATTTAAGTGCTCAGTCTAACTCACTTGTCTGAATTACCTAAATATAAGGTTCTCAGTTAAAGGAAACATGGAAAATACGATTGTTTCGCTGCTTTATCTTTAATTTGGGCCTCTTGTCAGCTCATAAATGATTTGTCTTGCTTGCTCATCTCTTTCGATCAGTGCAGTTCATGTGGTGGTTTTTGTAAAAGAAAAAAAAAGTCTATTTTTGTCTTCTTGCGTTACTGTGTCAAAATGGTTTTGCAGTGGAGAAAATACTCTGTTCTGTCAAAATATTTTGGGTTTAGAAATGGTACTTATGTTTGGGTTTTTTGTTTGTGTTTTTAAATCAAATCTCTAGTAACTTCAGATGAAAGCAACAGAACTTGGGGAAGAAGCACAACTTATCACCAAGAAGAGTTTGAAGATGTGAAGAGGAGTTTTAAAAAGAGAGGTTGTACATGGGGACCAAGTTCAGTTCAAACAAAGGATCGTGCAGATTGTAAGGACAAGTATGTCTACTACATTTTGTTTGTTTGATAGTACTAAGCATTCTTGGTAACTGAATCACTAACATAGGTAGTGAGTGAGAGAAGTTCTGCAGTCTCTAGTTACAGCTAAAACTCAGTCCTACCTTTTCATTAATTTAGGAATTACATTAATAATGAGTAGCTCCTCCACATAGACTTGAGGATAAAATGTTTACTTACCTTAAAGTTTTAGTGACTCTTATCTATTACCCTTTATCTTTGGTTTTTGAGACTTGGAACATACTGGGATGCTGAGCTACTAATGCTTTCATGGCCTGTCAGTCTTTCTTCCCCTTCCTCAGACTGACTTGAGGAACTGCAGGCATGGTCCCCAGTGGCCACTTCCAGTATGATTAAATAAGACTGACCGACGTTGCATACATGAAGTAAAATTCACACCAGCAGCATCATTGACACTGACAAACACAAGGTGAAAAGGTTCTGAAAAATCAGTTGGACACCATCACTTTTGGGTTATTTTCTGTAATTACTCAAAACTGGAGACTATCAGTTTTTCTGAAAGAAGAGATACTTTCCCTTATATTCTAGTATATATACTTATTTATAATGCCTTTTTTTTTCTTGTTAAAGACATTGATTCATTTACCTGTGGCAGTAGTTGCTTCCAGACCATCTGTTGAAACTGGCTTTATGATATTCTTGTTTGTTTTAAAGTCGTTTTGTTAATAAATTTCCAATTTCTTTGACACAGTCCAAGTTTTCAACAACTTTTGTTCTTCAGTAGCTAGGCAAGGCCTATTTTTCATTGGCTTTCTTTTTAGACCTGAAACTTTCACCTTATAAGGAATAGCTGATGTGAGGCATTTATCAATTTATAATCATATGACACTGTGGTATTATATAGAATTTTTTTACCTTTGTAAAGGTTTACTGTTTTCAAGTTACGTACTACATGCTTATAGTTTAAAAAGAAAGATGTTTTAGCAACTTTCTGTCAAAGTGTATATAAGCATGGTATCTTCTGTAATACCAAAATAACTATTGTTATTTCAGAATAAGACCCCTTTCAGATGGCAGCAACCCTTGGTCAACCCTTTTAATGAAGAATCAGAAGGGTGTTCCCTTAGCTTCACTATTTGTGGACCAAGGTAAGAGCTATTTTTGAAGAATTGAAAGTTGCCATATAATGGCATTAAGTGTACCTCCAGTGTTATTAATTGTATTGCTTGAATTCTTCAAGGATTATGCAGATTATTAGAAGAGTAGTCATGCTACAAATAATTTTCCTGTGCAAAAAATCTGTCTATAAAAAATGCAAGTGTTAACATCTTTACATTTCCAGCATCAGCAGCTAAGAAATATATGTGGCATTGTGACCAGTATCGCATAGAGTATTTTTCCACCCCATTTTTGAGTTGCTCGCTGATCTGTATATGAGGTGTGCAGTCACCACTTTCTAGCTTCTTTTAAAAAGAAATATATAAATCAGTAATTGTCTTGACATTTAAATGCTCATTAATGACTTTTATTGTTAGTGGGCTCTGCGTAGTTGTTTAAAAAAAAGCATAGTTGAAATTGTAGCAAAATGGCACTTCTGCTATGTTAAAGACTATCAAGGGAACATAAAGATGTTTAGGCTTAGGATATGTTTCTGAATCTTACAATGTGAGTCTCTGAGCTTCTGACTGCATCTAAAAGGGGCATACAGTATACCTCCAGATTAATATTTGTGCAAGTGAAAGGAAATAATGCAATTATTTCTGTTATGCAATAGCAAAATAGCTGAATTGCAATCTCAGAGTATACTGTCATGTTTTATAGGTGTCTGTACTGATAAGAAACATCTCCCTGAAGGTTTGGACGGTAAAAGACCAAAGCCAATTAAGTTGCCAAATCAGGCCTATATTAATCTACCTCTTTGGAAAGATGATCAGGGAGAGAATACAGTAGAACATGAGAGCTTTGAAGAAGGAACCTCTGCTAGTTCTACAAATAGTACTCCTCAAATGACACCTACAAACAGTCTGAGCAGGACGCTGCAGAAAAAGAAGACTGATTCAGTGCTGTATGGTTGTGCTGTCCTCCTTGCATCTGTAGCCCTGGGCTTAGATATCAGAGCGCTGAACAAATTGCAGGGTCCGGATGAACTCTTGCCTAAAGATGAGAAGAAGAAGCGTGATGGAATATTTCAGCGGGCTTCAAAATTTCGCAGGAGTGCTAGCCCTACAAGACTGCAGTCCAAGAAAGAGGAAACAAGTATTCCATCCCTAAACCCAGCTGCAAATACTGTGAATCTTCTCTCTATGCCCTCCATTTCCACAAAATGCCTACTTCAGTCTGACAGTGAAGATGCGTTTGTAAGCACTGTGCTTGGTGATGGTGGTCCATGTAGTTCCACTGATGACTTTTCATCTGAAACTTCTGAAAGTAAGAGAGAACAGAGGATACAGCTGGCTCCTAACACGGTTTCTACACGATTAAAAAATCAACCTTTTAATCTTTGTCTGCAACAAGAATCTCAAAATGTGCCAAATCATTCCTCGACAAAGTTAAGTGTGTTGGGTCACAGACGAACCTTATCAGATGGGAACAATTTTCAAACCACAGGTGGGTGATTAAGAACTTAAAATGTAAGGGATTTTTATGTAGGGCAGCAGAAAATGTAGGGAAACTAACCTTTCACTAAAGAGATGTTAAGGTTTTTGTTACACTTTTATGTGTTAAATGAGTCACCATAACTGTATGTGGGCAAGCCCTGTATCTCTGAACCCTGAATAAACTACCTACGCTTGGAGTAGTATCTTGTCAGGAGTGTGGGTATGGAGATTTGAGGGGAAGAGATGGTTCATTTTAAGGCGATAGCTATTTTTCTTGGGTATTGCAAAAATAGGTTTCCCTGGTCTTTTCATGTCAGTGAGAACCTGCTTTTTGTGAAATGTACCATATTAACATTATGGCTGAAATAAATGGAGACTGTCAGGTGCATCCATTATGTAGTTGCGAACTTCCTGAGACTGAGGATACACTTGTTTAATATAGTTTCACAGTCCACATAGGTAAGTGATGGAGCATCATTTTAGTACTGCACATTTATTAACTTCAAGAAAAACAAGTCTGACTTCTAGGTCAAGCAAGCAAATCAAAACTTATGTCACATGTTCCACAAATCCTTAAGTTATGCTGTTGATAATTTAAGATGAAAAAAAGTCTTTAAATCTGGTTTCCATGGATAGGTTCATGATTAATGAGTTTTTGAAAAGAAGTACTGATGTTCTATGGTGGCTTAAATGTAATATTCTTCATGGTACACTATGCATATGTAATTACTCATAATAACTGGACAAATTTCTAGGGCTTTATTCCAATATTAATTTTCATCCAGTTATTAGGTGGCTAATGTGTATCTGTGTTCTCTGTATCTGTTTTGTAGCAATAGAAAAATAAATTGTTACGGCCTCTAGCAGAGAGTATAGATGCAAAAATGTTATTTGAGCGCTGCTGGTCCTCTCTTAGGACATTCCCCACAAAAGTACAAGCCTCTTAATTTTTCTGGTGGAAAAAAAAACAGTAGGTTTATGGCAACCCAATTTTACAAATGGCAAAGAAATCAAGAAGTCATATGGTTAAAATAGTCTTTTTTTTCTTTTTTTTTTTTTGGCCTTTCCTTTCTTCTAGCTAATGGATTTGCTTCAACCAGTGATGTCTCCACATTACCAGTTCTGTCAGTTACTGGAACTCTGCGCTCTCCATCTGTTCAACAAGCAAGCAACCACAGGGGTGTTTCAACTGAAAAGCAAAGCGTTGTCAATATTATATCAAGGCCTCGACCTTCTTCTCTAAGAAGTAAAATTGATGCATGGCAGATTATTCCACGTATAACTAAACCAAACTCTAGAGACTCTGAATACTTAGAGGGCAATGTAGATCCAGATGTTAACTTCTTGCCAGATACAGAGGAAAGAACTAACTGCCACATGCCCACATTACTTGATATTGATGTGGAAGGTCAAAACAGAGACTGTACTGTACCTTTATGTAGAATGAAGAGCAAAACTTGTCGGCCATCTATATATGAACTGGAGAGAGAGTTCCTGTCATGAGTGCCTTTCATTTTAAAAATGTTTGCTTTTTAAAGGGGAACAAATATAAAATTCTTGTCCATCTAATGCTTTGTGCTGCTGTTTTCTGATGTACTGTGACAAATAGTACCAAAATTATTAAAATAGGCAGCTAATTAAGGAAGAGTAGTAGGTGCCTTTTTCAAATGTTCCTTGGAATCCCAGCTAGTAACTCTAAAAGACAATGCTGCAAAATAGTATTCTCGGTGAACTTTATAAGCAGATTTTGAATGACTAAAATAACATGCCCACTTCCCTCTGCAGTGTCACAGAAATTTTCTTTAGGTTTGAGGGGGTTTGCTAGAAATCTAACTTTTGCACATTGAAAACATGAATGACATACATTAAGGTTGTGTTCTGTCAAGGAGAGTTCTGCCTAAGAAGTGGTTGTCTGCAGCTTGTCTCTGTGGCAAGTAGGCAGGGGGGCAGGGGATTTAAGGTGCTGGTGCAGGAGGCTCTGTTCGCTCCTCATTAAGTAGCTGGTTAATTTTTGGCATTTGATACTGAAATTAGTGAAGGACCAGCAGCTGAATTTGCAGTCCTTGCCCTTGGTTTTTGTGACAACATTCAACTGTGTGTATTAGTTTCTCCAGAAAGTTACACTGCTTGTATAAACACTTAGGTTTCAGCCACCATATCAATTTGAGAGAGTAAACTTTAGTACTGCGATTGGATTAAAGGTATTTGACATACTTTATAATGTGAAGCAACATTCCTTGTAGGTAAGGATACACTGGAACGTAAATATTTGTACTCTTTTAACCTTTTGAAGACTACAGTGTTTGCACTGAGAACAATATTCTTGGTTTGAGATTGTTTTCTTTGTGGTGGAAGGGTTTGCCCCCCTTTTTGTTTTTTAAACTCTGCTGCACCTTGTATTGAGGAAAAATGATAAGATTTTAAGGATGATTTGTGTTTGGTTTGAAGTGAGCCAATGGTGCATTTTACTACACTCAAATTTTAAACCTGCCATAATTTAATATTAAATCTTTCTGTATAATCTGTGCAGCTTTTCTTCCTAAAGTTACTACTGAGTGCCCAGCTATGCATATTTAGGAATTAGAGGACAGAAACAGATAGGCTTGACTGGTTTTCAGTGATAGAAAGACTCCAGAAAATTCCAAGTAGTTAGTTGTGGGCGGAGGAACATTTAACCTTGATAACACTGATAGTTTAATTTTTTACAGCATCACTAAGTGATTAAATAAAACCAAACGTACAGTATACTTTCCCTGATGAAAGCATTTCTAGAACTAAAGGAACATCCCTCATATTCCAGTACTTGAAATCCTAATTTTGCATATCATTTGACATTTAAATAGTCTTAATAAATAAAATTAGATGATGTTAGAGTAAAACTGCGATGTTCCCATCAGAACTCTTTTGTTGAGACCTTTGTTTTAAATGTTTTCTTCTCTTTTGCTCTGGGGTCTGGGACTTCAGTTGTTAAATAGAATACACAATTGCTTAAAGCTTCAAAACCAAGGGATTAAAAAAGAAAGTTTCTGTTCTAAGACTGGTATGCAGTACCGTGGCTATCTTGAGGATGACAGATAATAATTACACATGCAAAATCACAAAGTCTTCATCACAGAGCAAAACACAGAAAATGCAACTTCCCAGCTCTCAAACTGAGAATAGAAAAGGATTTCCTTAAAGTATTAGTTTACCAAAAGTAAAAACAAAACCACTAGTTGTCTGTAAAACTGAATGCCTGCATAGCAGATTACTAAGTTATTACATTTTGTTCAAACCTGTTTCTATTTCAGTATTCTTAGTTTTGTCAACGTGATTCAAGTTGCATACTGTTGTTTGTTTTTTCTTTACACTTTAATTTCATCAGAACGCTTTAATAGATGAAGTCTGTTCCTGTTTTAATACAAAATGTTTTCAGAAAAGAAAGTCAATCAGGTAATGCACATGGATCAAATTTTAAATATAGCTTGATAGCAGATTTATCTTCAAGGCTTAATTAGAATTTTTGAGAATTATGTATATTTCAACTCTTTCTTGATCAATTATTCCTATGTAATACTGAGAGAAAAGGAGTTGATTGTATTACTTGTTTCTGAAGAAAGTATCTCTGACTTTCTACAGGAAAATCTCAGGTGCTGAAGTATTTTGACTTGTAAACTTCTGTTCTGTACTTTTGAGGTTTATATAATTTTAAATGTTGAATCTTGCACCCTATGTTTTGTAACCAATAGTATCAGCATAAAAAGCCCTTTGTAAGCTATATTGTTTTCACCTATCAGTGGTTTATCTCTCCTGTAATTAAACAAAGATTTCTATTCCTGCTCAGTGAATAATTTCCCATAAGAGTGGGACATATCATATGTGACCAGCCTGATGCGTTGTAACTAATGTAGGAGTTTGTATTCCACCTGTTATTCTGAGATAGTTAAGGTAAGCCATCTCAAATATTTCTCTTAATGTGATGCAGGGGGTTTTTTAAGCTATAGTCTATAGTGCTTTATCATTGTTTTAATAGTTGAAAATTATAGGCCAGTCTTCACTGAAATTAAAAAGAGAAAAAGAAAAAAAATATTACAGTCATGGTTTCACAGTCTGTATTTCACTTGTCACCAGAGAAACTTTCTATAAAGTTATGGTAGTCTGGTATGCATTAAGTGATCTGTCTTGGTTAAAAGTATATTTATTTCAATGTAGCTTAATAGCCTGACCAAATGATAAATTATGTTGATTGTTTTAGCACAAAACTGAAGGTGCTCACACTACAAAGATTAAGATAAACACTTGACATGCTGTTTTACAAAACCTGATGATTTAATGTTTTTATTTAAAAAAATAAATGTTTTGTAGCTACTGTATTGCAAAGTGACCTGAATTTTCTTGAGAAATACATTTTAATGCTTTCTTAATATGTACAAAGGAGTTCTCTGGTGAATAACCAGGAACTATAGACTATGGCCAGCTTGTTCTTGGAACATTAGAATGTAATTGTTACTTGAGGATTAATTATCCAGTAGAGTAACATGAACGTTCCTGTGATTTCTTGCAATTGATGTGGGCAGAAATGCATATGGTATAAGTTTGTTCTTTTTCATGTGACCATAATATGTCTTTTGATGGTTTTACAATGTGAGCTGGGTATCTTAGAGGAGGTAAAGCAGTGGCTATAAATAAATACTGCATCTGATTGAGCATCAAGACTACAGGTAAGGAATAACATATTTCTGTTGTGGGGTTTGAGGGGGAGGAGGGTTTGTTGGTTTGGGGGGGTTTGGTACTTTGGTTTTTTTTGTTTGGTTGGGGGTTTTTTTAGGCAAATGAAGCCAGTATTTTCCTTGTAATATTTTCTAACGACTTCTTTTGTGAACTCCCCTCTTTTCTTCCCCCATCATCCCTGGGCACATTAGCCCATCTTTCAGTAAGGAGAAGAGGAAGGATCCATTTGTACAGTGGCAACAGACAAGATACAGCAAAGTCTCCAGCAGTGCAGTGAAATTCAAAGCTGTAAGCCCAATCTTACAAAGACATGCCTGCATAGAGCTTTCAGTGAGGCTGGCTGGATAACAAATATTTACATGGCCTGTGAGCATCAGTATCGAGCCTGGATTAATAAGCCAAGCTGCACAGGTGGTTTATTTTATACAGAGTGTTATAATGGTAATATTAAGATCTGCATACAAATGTGTGTTAATGGAAAAGATCCCATTCTCACTAGCCACCTCCCTTTTTAAAATAACTAGTCAGATGACTACAGTGCATGTATTATGAGGAGCTGAGTCTGTTACCTAGTACATTTTTTAATGTAAGCTGAGGATGCTTAAGATTGCAGTATTAGGTATTCCAAATTAAGGCCAGAGTCCTTGCAAGTGTGTAATGGGTTTCTCCCTGAACATAAGTGAAAATGAGCAAACCAAATATGACTTAGTCATCTCATTACTGTTAGAAATCCAGTATCTTCAATGATCTAGTTAGTTTGATAAAATAGCTTTTTTAAGCAAAATAAACGTGTTTTGTTCTAATAGGCTGGAGAACAGATCCACAGAGCTGCACAAGTAGGATAGATTTACTTTTCTATTTCACAGAATCATTTAGGTTGGAGGAGACCTCTGGAGATGAAACCATCCAACCCCCTCTGCTAGAGCAGGTTGCCCAGGACCATGTCCAGTTGACTTTTGAGTATCTCCACAGATGGAGACTCCACAGCTTCTCTGAGCAATCTGTTCCAGAAGAGTCTGGCTCCCTCTTCATTCCCCCTTATCAGGTATTTATAAACAATAAGGTCCTCCTGGAGCCTTCTCCAGGCTGCACATTCTCAGCTCTCTCAGCCTTTCCACATATGAAAGATGCTCCAGTCCTTTAATTGTCTTCATGGCCCCGCACTGGGTTTGTTCTAGTAAGTCCATGTCTGTCTTGTACTGGGGAGCCCAGAACTGGATGCAGCACTCCAGATATGGCCTCACCAGTGCTGAGTAGTGGAGAAGGATCACCTCCCTTGACCTGCTGGCAACACTTCTACTGCAGAATACCATTGGCCTTTGTTGCTGTAAGGACACAGCGTTGGCTTATGTTCAGCTTCTTGACCACCAGGATCCTCAGGTCTCTTTCCACAAAGCTGCTTCCCAGGTGGTTGGAGCCCTGTGTGTACTGGTGCATGGGGTTGTTCCTCCCCAAATGCATTTCAACTTCGTAAGACGACTCTAAGCCCAATTTTCCAGCCTGTCCGGGTCTCTCTGAATGGCAGCACAACTATCTGGTGCATCAGCCACTCCTCACAGTTTTATATCGTCTGCAAACTTGCTGAGGATACACCCTGTCCCAGCATCCAGGTCGTTAATGAGAATGTTAAACAGTATCAGCCCTAGTATCAACCCCTGGGGTACTCCACTGGTGACTTGGTGATGTTTAAGCAAGCTGTAGTTAATACCATCTCATATTTTATTCATGTCATGCAAAATATTTTTCCTAATTTTAGGTTATTGCTATCAATTACTTTCAAAGGTTTTTTCCCTGTTTCAAAAATAAAGGCATAATGACCATTCTCACATCTAGGCTTTAGTGAATTGCTTCCA